GGGGATGCTTTTTAATTTTTGAGGAGACAAGAAAGTTCACGGGACCCATCTGTTGAGACATACATCCCACAAACCGGATAGACAACTGTTTTTCTAAAATATTAATAACAGTGAGGTATAAAAGGTTTGAAAATAGATTACTTTTTTATCACATTTTATGTAATTTTGCAAACCTATTTACATACTTAACCATTTCTTGTGACAAAAGTGAAAATAATATAAAATATAGGACCTGGTTTTTCAACCTATTAAACTATGATAAAATAAAATAAGATTTTTATTGCAAAGAACATCCCATATTTGAGACAGATTGCAAAACATGGAACATTAAATAGACAAAAACAATAACAAACAATATATTGCACTCATATTTAAGTTGATGTATATGATATGGTCACATTACCAATGGGGGGAGGGGGGGGCACGGGTGGCCAAGTCGTCTAAGACACCGCGATTCGCTGTTAAGAGTTGCGTCACTTGGGCACGCCAGAAACCTATGATTGTGGGTTCGAATCCCGGTTATCCCCGATTATGTTTCTAGGTTTGTCAGCACCATACCTGTGCTCGTGGGTTTCACTGAAGTGGTAAACATCTGAGACCTGCATCACTTCGGGCTTTCCTCACACATTAAGCTGACACGCTGCGATATAACTGGAAAGTGGATTCATGTTAAAAGCGGCGTTAAACCCAACACACTCACTCACATTACCAATGTTGTAGGGGTTCATATTATTTCATGCTATGGTGAGCTTACAAAACTTACAATGGCTTGAAATCATCAAGGAACTAGACACGTCGCAAAGTGACCACAAGATGTGATAGAGGGATTGCCACATCTTGTAAGACAAATCTGAACAAAGGGTGGGTGTGTGCACCTCCTACAAACACCCAATCTTTCCATCCCCACCCAACAGATTTTTTTAATTTTTTTTTTTTATGGGTTACACTGCACTCATATTCCAGCTATATAGAAGGGGCTGTAAATAACTGAGTCTGGACCAGACAATCCAGTGATTGACATCATGAGCATTGATCCACACAATTGGGATCGATGACATGCATCAACCAACTCAGCCAGCCTGACCACCCGATACCGTTAGTCTCCTCTTAAGGAGAGCATAGTCGCCTGTTACAACAAGCATGGGTTGCTGAAGACCTATTCTACCTCGGATCATCACAGGTCCCACCCTAAAGAAATAACAGACTTCAGCAAAAACACCTGTATGATTAATCCACCCCTAATAAAAGCAACACACTAATACACGAGTCACCTCGGCCACATCAAAGACAAAGAAATTCTACCCCACATGTGCAATGATATTTTTTAGATGAAGGAAAACACGAACAATTGTCCTCATACACATACACCCATTGTCCGGAATCAAACTCTGAATGAGTAGGGCACAAGCAAGAGCACCATCAAAGGGACTATATCGCCCCCGCAAAATACCAATAATAAACCCATCCCACGTACAGAGATCAGCCTTTCAGACCATGTTGACCAGTCTCAAGGCCCCAACAAAGGGCTGTTTGGCCCCTGTTTTACTGCCCGTGACCCCTGACATGATTGCTTGTACAGGTAGTGCCCTGTGAGGAGGGGGGTAGCTGGATTTACAGCTATTTGGCCCTATATTGTCCTGAGTGGTCACATTGGTAAACAAACCAAGGCTAATTTCCTGTTTATAATGTCCCTTGGCTTATTCTCCTATCTGATAAAATTAGTGCTATCAGATTACAACTTTCATGACTTCCTAATGTGAGTGTGCAGGTGGATTTATTAATGGAACACATATTTACGATGTGCTTTATGGAAATACAACAAAGAAACTACTATATGAAGGATATTTGAGGACAACATGAAGTTTTTATATTCTAGAAGATGATATACTGCTTTGTAGAATAGACTTTGGTTTACATTTTATATTATGAAATAAAAAAGAGAATTCAACTGTTTTGATATTCCAAATATCAACCAAGTCTTAATTTAGTGATAATTCAAATAGCCAATATTTTAATAAGGATGAGGACGTATTCTCTTTATTACATAACAAATAGACACACTAAGAAAGCTGGGAATTTTATACCTAATGAGTATTTAACTGTGCGAGTGATAATCTATTTATAACTCTTCAGGTGTTAAAACATTCCATCATTTTGTCCTCTTAATAAAATCAAAGCCTTTAAAAAATTCCACAAAACATAGATACAATTTGAGTGAGTGGGTAGGTGGGCAGGTGGCTTGACAAGCAAGTGAGTTAAATATTCCAGCAATATCACAGTGGGGGGCACCAGAAATGGGCTTCACACATGGCACCTATATGGGGAATCAAACCCAGGCTTTCAGCTTCATGAGCCAACATTTGGCTACCCCAATATCCCCTCCCCACTAATGATATATATTGCCTTATTGCTGGCTAATGCATTGAATCTGTCACATTCTTATTCAATAATCCATTTGATTAATTACCCTTGGCAGATGCGCAAAGGAATATTTGTAATAAGGTATTAAGAGGTGGGGTTTTTTTTCTATGAAGCCTATGAGTGATTACGCGAGCAATTTTGACTTAATGCCACGCTGGTTATATCCCAGAGACCTTCAGATAATCACATCTGGACCAGGCAAACCAGTCTCAGCAGACTTAATGCCACGCTGGTTATATCCCAGAGACCTTCAGATAATCACATCTGGACCAGGTAAACCAGTCTGCGCAGACTTAATGCCACGCTGGTTATATCCCAGAGACCTTCAGATAATTACATCTGGACCAGGCAAACCAGACTGCGCAGACTTAATGCCACGCTGGTTATATCCCAGAGACCTTCAGATAATCACATCTGGACCAGGTAAACCAGTCTGAGCAGACTTAATGCCACGCTGGTTATATCCCAGAGACCTTCAGATAATCACATCTCGACCAGGCAAACCAGTGAATGAAAGTCTTAGCAGCGATCCATACCATGATGACAATGACAGAGAAGGGGGACAATGATTCAAACAAACAGAGTTTTAGTCAAAAGTTCAACTAACATTTAGTCTATGAAATCTTATATCACACAATATCCTTCTTGACTCTAAAAAAAAAAAAAATTCCCTATGCTGATTAGAGCTGGCTAGACTTGCTTTTGTATACGTTTCTAGATTTTTATTTTTCATAAAATACATATATTCCACAGTCATGGTGCAGGACTAGTCAAAAGTCTGCAGCTTCCAGAAATATTCAGAAGCAAACTCAGAATTTAAAAGTAAACATTCCCTATTGATAAATGCATGTTGTGCTGACTATCTCAGATATTTAAAATCTTTCTGGGGTGGTTTCTTCTCAAGAATGTAAAATCTAAGTACCTCATAACAAATTCTCCAGACAAATCAAATTAGATAAAGTACTCCAGCAAGCAAAGCATCAGTTATTATGGGCTAATTAACTTCTTGTTGCCATATTTAAAAACATTTTTCTTTAATTGATCTTTTGAACTATTTCAAGCAAAGAAACATTCTTGCCTTCATAACATGATGTCTTGGCCTTGAAACTTTGCAACAAATGATTTCCATCTTCTCTTCACCCTGACCCATCTTCTGAAAAACAACACTGACACATTAAATTTAAAATTAATCAAAAACTTCAAAATTTAGCATTTCATGTTATGTCAAATTATAACACCATATTTGACCTTTCAGACAGCTGCTAGTGCCCCACCCTAGTAGCATGTCTCGATGGTAATAGAGGCAGACTTCTTCTTCAAAATCAATATTGAGTGGAATTAGCAATCTAATCCTCAGTACATGTTATTCAATGAACGAACAATCAATCACTTTTCACACATTTCAGTTCAGATTTAGATAACAATACATCATACTTACATAAATCTGATATTACTTAAAATGTTCTAAATGGAACCATAAGACACAAGAAAGTTTCTAAGGAGTGAATGAGTTAAAATTAAACATCTCATTGGCATTCTTTCAGCCATATAGCAACAAGTTTTAAGAAGTAATGGAACAGATATAAATAAATACATGATAAAAGTATGAATGTCTGTTCAAAAGAGCTAGGATATAGTTCACATTACAAGATTATTACTGATATCCTAATATTGCTTAAAATTTTGAGCACAGGAGCATAAACATTACAAGTATATGTACATGAAAAATCAATAAACATATGCAGCTGGTATATCTAATTCTGCAATACAAGCAAATAATTCAAAATGGTTGAAAACGTTACATTGTTACTGATAATGTATAGACGTAAGTAGAGTGAACTTTGTCAGGCTGTCTACGGGAACATACTCTACCAACGGAGGAAAGGGCTTATAGGTGTAATGATGCCACCGTTGTGTGACGTAAGTGCGACTGTCACCCCATCTCCTGGTAATTGAAGAGCGACAGGTCAGACCCGTCGGCCGTTGCTTCATTGTGCCTCCATCGCTGCTGAATCTGTGGGATCATCATCGGTCAGATGTGAAATGAGATAATACACCGTTAGTTTGATGTCAGTATCCGCTCTTGTCACCAGTAATGTCAAATATTTCCCTCCCTTTGTTGGATGTCGCGACGTGTCTGAACACGAATGTAAGTTTTATATATAGCCTATGTTTTATTTGAATTTTTATAGCGTGTCGTTTTTTTCTGTTACGCACCACGATACACGGTTGTAACAGTTGTTGTTTAGAAAACGTGATTAGAAAATGTGAAATCAATAACACGTTGTTTTCAAAGTGACGTTTGTGATGGTGATGGTGGCAGAGAGAACATCGTCTGCTAGGTTAACTAGCGATTAATGCTTCCGGGTTCACAGATCGATAGGTAAATAGTCTGATTAACTTCGTTATGATTAATTAAAGAGTTGATTTATTCGTAGCCTTCAAATTTAATTATTATTTAGAATAATATCAGGTTTGTATAGCTTAAACTGACACATTCAACATGCGGTGTTTATGTGAGTTTTGCTGACACACCCTCTCCACGTGGTGCCCTTACCGGATGTAAACAAAGATCGGGTTGATTCGGGTCGAACCGACGTGCCGTATTTTACCGAAGGAGTCATCTTACGGCTCCGAAGACTTACGTTCTTTGTCGATGTGATCAGCAGGAAGTGCTTGACGTACAACTTCGAATGTAAGTTAGAATAATAGAGGACCGTCGTTTAGACTAGTGCAACCCCACATTATTTTGATCTGCAGCTCTCAACCTGTTTCTAACACACAGCAGTGCATCTGTTCTGTCAGCGATGAACGGGACAGTTTACCTGTTGAATCGTGAAATCATCGTCGATTGTTTCCTGTTTTCGGCATATTATGAATCACAGAAGGATTCAGGTGGCATTGCACTGGACATATATTTCTTTTTTTCATGTAATAATATTGTTCAATCTCAATAAACAGTCCTTATAAGGGAAGGGCATTCTCTCCTCCCAATTTGTGATAATTGTGGGTAATAACAAGACATCTATCCTGATACTGAAGTGGATTGGTATTACATTGAGTTGTACACCTGGCGTGACAGTGCAGAGTAAATGCATATTGCAGGTCAAGCTATTGGATGTCATGCATTCTGTGTTATGCACATGCATATTTGCTGACATAGTGAATAAATCTGGCAACACACAATAGCATATAGACCTGTATATATAGACCTTGCCTGCAATTACAATGGACACCACCAATAGCAGTAGCAAGGCACCATTGCACAAGAAGAACAAGCATTTTAATTTGTGTTGGCAACATCTTGTAGCTCACCCGAACCTAAGGTTTTCTTCGTGGATGTAAAATATTGATATTACATATGATATTACACACCTTGGCATGCTCAGAGGACAGAGCAGCAACTTGCTTATTTGTGTAGAGTTGTCTCCCTTAGGAGCAACAGGATCATGATTCTTAATTGGTCCCTCAGTATCATTAGGGTTAGAATTTAAGTCTAAGGCTTTTCTAGCCTGGGTAAAGATAACCTGCCCTTGAAATGTTAAAACAATGGGGAATTTTGGAAATATGTACTGGCCCCGAAGATTTTGTACTAAAGAAGTTTGTTAAGTTCTATCCCAGATCATGCCTGTTCAAACAACCTCACCAAAGTGGGAGACCCGCTTGAAGCATGTCATCAATCCCAATTGCGTGGATTGATGCTCATGATATCAATCACTGGATCGTCTGGTCCAGACTCGATTATTTACAGACCGCCGTCATATAGCTGGAATATTGCTGAATGCGGCGTAAAACAACAAACAAACAAACAAACACTGACTGACTGACTGAATGATCCTGATTTCCCTTGCATACCCCATGCAGATTCCGGGTTAGAACAAGTCCCCAGCAGCCTATGCTGGTTGAAAGAGGCAACAACTTAGCTGATGCATGTCACCGTACCCCGACGTTGTGTATCATTGCTCATGCTATCAATCACTGGATTATGTGGTTGTTGTAACTTCATATGTAAGTCTTGATTGTAAATCACTGGTCCTTTGAAATCTTACAGAATTATACCTTAGCAATGCATCAAGGGTAATGTCGTCAGAATCTGGTCATGGCGGCAGCCTGTATGTCGACAATGTGGAACTACAAAATATCTGTCTTATTTCTTATGGAGCATATGGGATTCCAATCCCAAGTTACACAGTGGTCCTGACTCGGTCTTTTACAGGCTGCCCTGATATAGCTGGAATATTGCTGTGTGCGGAGTTAAGCTGAAAAACAACATCATACGGTGCCGATCCTAGCGTGTCTTTACTGTTTTTGACAACACAAAAAGCACAGTTGAAGAAATATTCCAAACACTTCTAACTTTAAAGCCATCTAGGGCTTTTGTAGATACAGGAAACAGTAAAAGCCTACCGATACACTATTTAGAAATAAATGCAATCGGAACTACATTATTTCATTGACCTTCTGATAGACCTATCTCAGCTGTAATTCTTCACCTCTAACTGACCTATGAAACACTTGTCAACACACACTGTCGTGAAATGAGAATTACAGCAGAGTATTCGTGTTTGTAGGTTAAAAGAAGCATCTCACAGGGAATGGGTGGTCAAGATGGTTGCAGATTGTGGATAGTATATATACTACAAAGGGGTCGATTTAGCTACTGTAAATCTTGAAATTAATGCGAGCGTGAATTAAATGCAAAAAATGATGGTTTCATCTCATCTTTCATCTGACCAATCAGAGCGTCGCTTACCAGATTATGAAAGTGACAGTCGGAATGTGATTTCTAATCATGCAATTTCAAAAACTTTAACACGGGGTATTCCGAACAATGGTTATGGGTTTAGTGACTGAATCCATACAATCTAGACCATCTATTAGCCATTCCAGAATGTTCTTTTGTTTTGTTTTGTTTTAAATTTGTAATCGAGAATTTGTCATAATAAGTTTCGAAGCGTAGTCGCCAATTTGAAATTAGTGCCGTAAAGCACGAGAAAGCTTCTTTCTGATTGGTCATTCCATTGGTCGATCAAAGTTCAGTCAAGGTCGGCCTGACGTGACCTGTAATGGGATGTCCTCAGATCTTTGTTTAGTGGTAGGGAGAACTAAGATCTGATTTTAATGAGATTGCGATAAGACATTTTGGATAGCAGAAATACCAACTTCGACATACGCTGAAACAAAGAACTATGTATTCTACATCACTGTTTATTGAGCAGCACTTGTAACAAGTATATAAATAATGTCATTCAAACACAATTACATCCTGTGAATCGTCACTGCTGGGGTCAAGACAAGAGTTCTACTCACTTATGTCATCACTGATCACACCTGCAAGTCCAGACAGACGCCACCCATGCAACACGGTGTCATTGTTCTTTGCGACTGCGTCAAAGGCCGACACGAGCCAGTGTGCATGTATTGTTTCAGCAGAAGTACTCTACTCAGCGCTAATAAGCTACATGTATTTGGTGCGTGATTGGATTAAGGTGAGGAATCTCCTGTAAACCTGACAGAAGACATTTCCTTTAGATATAAATCCACTGATGACTGAAAGGAGGGGGGTGTCGAATTCATATTGAGTCGCATTTTAGGCTAGGGGCCAGCAGGCACATTCTTTTGGAGATGCATTAATTTCATGATTTACAGTATATAAAACATGCACCAGTGCAACCTATTATTGAAAAATGCAACTTAATATTTATGTCTATTTATGTTAACAAAATTCAATAACAACATAACAATAATCTGTGAACACACTCAGTACCTCTAAGGTTTATTTACCATACTGCATCACTCATCCCAGTGTTATGTGTTGTTCATGACACATGACACAGTCATCAGAGATTTGAGATTTTACTTTAGTTAGACCAGTTTATGCATCTATATTTCAATTTTGATAAATTTATGGGACCAGGGTGCAACCTGTTTTTGTCTAGTGCAACTAGCTGTTCATGTCGACATGCACCTTGTGCAAGGTAAATCCAGTTCCTTAAGTCAAGCCCTGATACTGAAAATAAGTTTTAAAACAACCACAACTGAAAGGCTGTGTGTTGCAATCGTGATTCCGGTTAAACTTGGTCCCCAGCAACCTCTGCTGGTCGTAAATACGTCACAAACGTTAGTGCTGTCTCAAAAGGGAATCAGGTGGTCAGGCTGCGTGACATGGCTGATGCTTGTTCCCTGATGGCAAGAATTGTTGCCCTTGTTTTCAGTCACTGGTTTGCCTGATCCAGATTAAATTACTCACAGACTACTTGGCTATTGGCCCGGAAACACTGGTACATGTATGTGTGTGTTTTAAGAAACTCTTCAGCAATTGTTTGTCCAACTTACAGGGTGACCATGAACTGCTATGTGGTGGATATTGGACCGGAAACACTGGTACATGTATGTGTGGGTTTAACAGACCATATTTCTCCTGACACTATGGGACAGACTCAAATTCCACCATGACGAGAAAGTAGTACCGGGGTATTTCAAAGTTACATGAGGCATAATGTATCTCTGTAGAGAACTCACAAGGTAATGATCCTGCGATGGAAAAGACGCACAATATATGTGTCAAGACCTAACTAACATAAATGTTAGTTAAGCATCCCTCAATGTTGTGGGTCGTTACTCATGCTATCAACCATTGGTTCTATCTGACACGATGTCACGATGTACCGTATTTGCTGCTCTAAGGGCCCTGCTCCTAGAAGCTCCCCCAGACCAACTGGACCATCTGTATGTACTCTTTATAAGCACTCCATATAAGACGGTTGGGTAGCCTAGTGGTTAAAGCGTTCGTCACGCCGAAGACCCGGGTTCGATTCCCTACATGGGTAGAATGTGTGAAGCCCATTTCTGGTGTCCCACGCCGTGATATTGCTGGAAAATTGCTAAAAGCGGTGTAAAACTGTACTCACTCACTCACTTACCCTATAAGACCGATAATTTACTTTTGTTGTGTACATGACACATTTCTTACAGAAAACTGCAGCACAAAAGGATATATAATTTGCAAATAACTAATATCAAAAAGGTTTTATATTGATCAGTATTTGAACTGAAATTCACTACTGCTTAATCTCTGAACTCTTTGCATATGGTTTTAATAAGCACCCCGTTTCTCTTGTTCCTTAGCGTCAAGGTTGCTTATTATAGCGAATATGGTAGATGGTATTTGGGATAAGCAGTGTATAACACCCTTCACTCCCCTTCCCCAAACATCTGGGGCAACATTTGTTGTTTGTTTTGCTTGTTTGTTGTTTAACGCCACACTCAGCAATATTCCAGCTATATGACAGAAGTCTGTAAATAAACGAGTCTGGACCAGACAATCCAGTGATTGACCTCATGAGCATCAATCCACACAATTGGGATACAATGACATACATCAACCAAGTCAGCGAGCCTGACCACCCGATCCTGTTGGTCGCCTCTTATGACAAGCGTAGTCGCCCTTTACGGCAAGCATGGTGGTAAAGTTGGTGAAGACCTATTCTACCCTGGATCTGACCGCCTCTGTGGTCTAGTGGTAGAACGTCCGCCCGAAGAGCGGAAGGTCCGGGGTTCGATCCCCGACCGCGTCATACCAAAAGACATTAAAAGATGGTACTTGTTTTTACCCTGCCTGGCGCTCGGCATTAAGGGGCTAAAACAAGGACTGGTCGGCTCGGAGTCAGTATACTGTGTCTGAGTGGGGTATTC